GATGCTGGCGAAGAACCAATGGCAGGCAGGAGGGGCTAGTAAAGGCTAGTTTTGTTTTGCTTTGTTCTTACCAAACTTAAGAACTCTTGGATATAAAAATATCATGATTATACCATCCGGTACTTTAGTGTCCAGAGTAGGAACTACAAAATCTTACTTTTTAACTCTCAACTTGCCAACTCAAAGGTAAAACTCTTTAAAAATAAAATGGTAGACTTTGAGTACAAATATAGCTGTTATAGCACACACATGAACCATTTGCATGGGCTGAGATGCTTGTAACTGTGTGGGTGTTTGGGGAGAGGGAAGGTGGCGAGGGTTGGAGGGAGGGATACTGTGGCAAGTGGAAGCCATCCCCTGGCTTCTTTCTAAAAAAAAAAAAAATGTGTATTATTTAAACATTTTCATGACTAACAATTGAACATAATTTTAAGCCCTCCCATATGCTAAGGAAGTGATAAAGTAAAGTGGGTTTTTCTACATGCCATGTGCGTTGGTTACTCATATGGTTTTAATCACTGCTCAAAGAGCTACCCCTGGAATGCTGCTTGCAGCTATCTGAAGTTTCCATACTGAAACTGAAGGTCAAGGTCAGCTGGTCAAAGCCAGAAATAGATCACAATTATTAAAGGTAATTAGCAAAAAGACAGAAAAGAAAAAAAAAAAAAAAAAAAAGCAAATGCTAGCAAGTTTGCAGAGAGCTCGCGTGTTGCTGCAGGGACCGTAAGTTAGGGCAGCCCTTGTGGACAGCAGCACAGAGGGTCAGCGAAATATTGAAAGTGGAACGTTAGATCCAGACATTCCGCACTCAGGGCTAATGCAGGATGAAAACATAACCGTGCAGAAAAGCAGCCGCACTCCCTCGTCTGCTGCAACTCTACTCCCAGGCAATCACCAAGCTGTGAAACCCGCGTAAGTGTCCACCAGGGGGTGAACTGAGAAAGAAAGGGTCTCACTGCATGGCCTTGAATTTGTGGCAATCCTCCTGCCTCAGCCCCCCCAAAGATGCTGGTATTGCACGCATGTGCTATCGAGCTTCATAAACTTTATTTTTAAACCATTTTTTTCTGGATCAATTTTATTTCAGTGCCAGGAATTGAACTCAAGACCTTGCACTTCTCAGGCAGGTGATTGTACCATTGAGCTATCTCCCCAGCCTTTAAAAATTGTAATGAGTAAGGTTTGCTCAAATAATCTGTCTCAAGATCGAGCCCAGCCCAGGCCTGGCAAGTGTGTGGGAGAGCTTCTGGCTTCCCTGTGCCTGCGGGACCTCTCCAGACCAAAACTCAGGCATGCCACGTGAGACCCTCTTCCACACCTCGGGACCCCTCCAAGCCTCCGGAGCCTCCAACCCCAAGCCTGCCAAGTAAGTGAGAACTTCTGCAATGCTCTCAGGACCCCCAGATCAGCCCAAGCCCAGACCCGGCTAGTGTGTGGGAGAGCTTCTGCCCTCCCCTGTGCCCCTGGGCCAGGGGCACACAGAGGGGCACCACAAGTTCACTGTTGGGCCAGAGGGGCACAACAGGTTCACTTCCAAGGGCTGCAGCAGGACCTAAACAGAAGAGCTCGACCCAGGCCAGGCATAACTGGATAAACTGAAACTTAATAGATCTGCCCCCAAATTTCAGTAGGTGTTAAGGTTATAACTGCACCAAAGCTCTACACCAAAGGTCAGAGGTCAGAGTTATATGAAATGACAAAGACAAGGAGCAAAATGCAATCTCAGGCCTCGAGCCCACCCAGAACAAGAGCAGAGGACACTACCTCAGATGAAATGTATGAATTAACAGCATCGGAAGTAAAGAAACAGCAGCAGAAAGGTATAGAGGAACTCAGAGCAGAAGTAATCTCTGAACTAAAAAAAGAAATCTTTGAATTCATAGCATCTGAAGTAAAGAATCGAATACAGAAACATAGGGAGGAAACCCAATCTGAAAAACACTCTGCAGTAAAAGAATTAATAACGGCCTCTAGAGAAGACATTGATTAAAAAAAAAAATAGAGGAGATTAGAAAAATGACTGATTCCTTGAATGACCAATACAGGAAAGAAATAGATCGCATGAAGTAGAATCAAAGAGATATAGAGGAGCTTAAAATCTCAATGACAAACCGGCAAAACCATTTGAGTGAAAGTAAAGACAGTTTCAGATCTTGAAGATGCTGGTGCAGCTAGTGAAAAGGTAAGAAAGGATCTCTCAAAAACAACTAAGATGCAGGAAAAAAATAATTCATCACCTACAGGACGATGCAAACATGAATATTGTGAGACTAATAGGTATCAAGGAGAAAGAGGAGTCAATACAAATGATATAAAAAGAATATGGGCAGAAGTAATAGCAGAAAACTTTCCAAATATGGGAAAACAATCTGACATTCAGGTAACCGAAGCATACAGAACACCAAATAACTTCAACCCAATTAAAAACACACTGAGACATATAATAGTCAAGATCCCAGAAATCCAGCACAAGAATAATGTACTGAAAGCTGCTAGAGAAAAGAAGCAGACCACATTCAAAGGAAAACCCATCAGAATTACAGTTGACTTCTCTTCACAAACCATAAAGGCAAGAAGAGCATGGAGCAGAGTACTTCAAGTCCTCTATGTAAACAAATTCTAGCCCAGACTACTAAACCCTGAAAAACTCTTTCAAGTTTGATGGAGAAGTGATGAAAAAGAATTAAGAATTTCATGATGACAAAGCCAACCCTACACAGACTACTGAAAGATGTTCTAGAGAGGGAGCAAAATGAGCAGAAGTCCACAAACGAAAAAAGAAGGAACTCACTAAATAGAGAAAAAAATTAAACACAGGAGAAAATGGAAAAAGGAGTAAACAACAGCAGGTAAATAACATGTCAATCATGAATCAACACGTGTCAGTTATAACCATCAATGTAAGTAGACTCAATTCACCAATTAAGAGAAATAGACTGGCACAGTGGATTAGGAAACAAAATTCAACAATATGCTGTATAC